TTTGCAGCCATGCAGCTATTTTATGGACCCTGATCAGAGGTTCAGAGCTTCCTGTGTCCCTGACTGGCGGGGGCAGGGTGTCTGTAAACAGCAGCTAAACCAAATGTGAACTGAAGAGCTCCCAGAGATAAGCAGCTGAGATAAGGAGGCAATAAGGTGGGGGGGGAGGGGGAGGAAGGGAGAGAGTAAATAATTAGTTTAGGGGGAAAGGCAGAGGGGAGAGGAGAGTCCTGTCTGCCAGAGGAGAGAAAGGTGGGTGGGAGAGAAACAGAAGGAGGGGTGGGAGAGAAAGAGACAGGGGAGAGAGAAAAAGAGAGGTAGGGAGGCACAGATAGACAGACCCACCAACCAGAGCTGGCCCAAGGTACGGGAAAGCCGGGCTACCGCCTGGGGTGCCCCATTGTAGGAGGCGCCACGCGAGGTTGCTGGGCTGGGCGGGGGTGGCACCACACATGGTCCGCACGCCCGTGGTGGTGCCATGCATGCGCCGGGCGCCCAGGGGTGGGGCTGGGCATGCGTTGCACTCCCCGGGGTGGTGCTGCGCTCCCGGGGCGCGCGAATGGCTCGGGTCAGCCCTGCCACCAACCCAGCAGTCTCTTCAACCCTCCTGGGCTGGGAAGGGGGAGGTAAAGGGCTGACTGCATGGGGTAGGTGTGGGAAAGAGAGGGTGAGTGGATGCTGGAATCAGTGCAGTGAGGTGGAGGCAGGGGGCAGTTTGTTCGGGATGTCCTGACTGAAGTCCTCTCGTTTAGGCTGGGTTGGAGGGAGGGAAGGAAAGCTGTATGGGTGTGTGTGCTAGGAGGACATTTTCATGATTGCATTTCAAATTTTACAGCGGTGTTAATGACTTAAGAAAGAAAAAGATTCTTTTAACAGATTTTTTTGGAGTGTAGCAGCTATCTAAAACTCAGAACTTATTTTTTTTTAAATCCTGTGTTACTAATTAATGGTAAACTGTACTGCATTAAGGCCAGATCTTTACTATGTGGTAGAGTTCTGGCTCTTATGAGTCAGAAGTAGCAAGTACTGGGAGTGATGATAGTGTTGTAGCATGAAAACTTATTTGCAAGTTCTTTGAAACATGCATCTGTCTACAAACCCTGAAGCCATGTGTTAATTTGTTCTGGGGCTTCTACTCTTCCTTACTGTATCTTTATACACCACGTTTGTAGTCTCTAAGGGTACCTCACAGCAACTAGATATAGGTGTCTTGTTTTAATATATTTTCTTCCACACGTACGAACTGCTTAAAATATGCATGCGTGTGTGTGTCTTTTGTTTGTACTGGTGGTGCACATCCATACACTACCTCTGTATTGGTGTTGCACATAAGAAATTTCAACCCGCACAAGAATAGAAAATGTTAGAGGAAACACTGATGGCGGCCCCGCCCTCACCCCACACTCACACTGCCACCACAGTGAAATGGAGCGATTCAGCTGGGACCCAGGGGGAGCAGAGCAGGCTGGGTCTGAGTCACTCTACTTCCTGAATCTGAGTGCACGGGTGGGCCCGACTAACGATGTTAAAGACTAGTCGACTATCTGATAAGCATTTGCTTATCGAATAGTTTTTTGACTTGTTGATTAGTAGCTATGCACTGCCGCATTCCTCCTTTGAAATGTACAACAGCTGGAACTCTTGTACATTTCAAAGGAGGAATGTGGAACTCTGCATTCATCCTAGGGCCAGCAGGAAGTCCCGCTGACTCTGGGCTGCACGCGGGTGCCTGCGCAAGAGTCCCCAGTGGGGGCTCTTGTGCATTTCAAAGCTATGGAGCCCGGGATCAGCGGGAGACTCAGAGTCCCCAGCTGACCCGTGGTTCCCTGTGGTATTTCCCCCACGGCATTTCTCCCCACAGCTGCCCCTTTGAATCACACAGATGCATGGTTCAAAGGGACAGCCACCTCACAGCTTATCCGCAGATCAGTTATTCGCCGGCTGTCCCTTTAAATCATGCATCCGCACGATTCAAAGGGGCAGCTGCCAGGAGCCCTGGGGTTAGCTGCAGACTCCCCAGCTGATCCCAGGCTCCTGCGGCATTTCCCCAGAACCCAGGATCAACTGGCTTCTGGGGAAATGCGGCAGGAGCCTGAGTTCAGCTGGGGAGTCCCCAGCTGACCCCAGGCTGCACGCAGCTGCCCCTTTGAATCGCGCAGATGTGTGGCTCAAAGGGACAGCTGGTGAATAACGGATCTGCGAATCAGCTGTGAGGCAGCTGTCCCTTTGAACCATGCATCTGTGTGATTCAAAGGGGCAGCTGTGGGGAGAAATGCTGTGGGGGGAAATGCCACGGGGAGCCGAGGGCCAGCTGGGGACTCTGAGGGGCAGGAGCCTGAGTTCAGCTGGGGAGTCCCCAGCTGACCCCAGGCTGCACGCAGCTGCCCCTTTGAATCGCGCAGATGTGTGGCTCAAAGGGACAGCTGGTGAATAACGGATCTGCGAATCAGCTGTGAGGCAGCTGTCCCTTTGAACCATGCATCTGTGTGATTCAAAGGGGCAGCTGTGGGGAGAAATGCTGTGGGGGGAAATGCCACGGGGAGCCGAGGGCCAGCTGGGGACTCTGAGTCCCCGGCTCCATAGCTTTGAAATGCATAAGAGCTTTGAAATGCATCTGGGGACTCCCCAGCTGACCCCAGTCTCCCCGGGAAATGCCGCAGGAAATGCTGCTGGTGTGAGGGGAGGGGTGTAATTCAGTATCTCTAGTGTAGAGGCAGTTACAGCTGTAAAAAGGTGCTTTATACTGCAATAGTGTGACAGGATCCCAAGGTGAAGCCTTGGTTTCTGGGAGCACTGTGCTCCCTTAATTCTCTAGCCTGGGCTAGCTCACCAAGTGCTTAGCTAGTAATTCATTTTGTCAATAGTTTGGTTAATCCAGAATTGCAAGGTCAATTTGTCCTCTTGTAATTGAGCCATTGAAAATAATCATGCTGCTGTATTACCATATCGGTTTCCCCAATCCTAAACCAGCCGTGTAGGATCGATCATCAGCCTCATCGGCTGTCCAAACAGAATTTGAAATGGCTGTATTTTTGTTTTCACGCAGTTGCTACTACGGATAGCTGCCAGAATTAAAGGCAGCTTATTGGGCCAATTTTCCCCAGTATTTCTCACAATTTTCCATAGGGCTTCTTTAACAGTGCAGTTCATGTGCTCTACTTGCCTGGATGATTGAGGGCAATAAAGAGAGATGAAATTCTGTTTAATGCCTAAGGCTTGTAACAAGGTGGTAAACATTTCTCCTACAAATGCTCCTCCATTGTCTGAATCTATTATCTCGGGAGTTTCATACCGACAGATCACCTCAGGAAATAACTTTTTTGCAGATTCTGTTGTGGTGTTTCTTCTAGTGGGTAATGCCTCTACCCAGTCACAGAAGGCATCTATGATTACTAGTAAATACCGAAATCCCTCTTGGCTCTGTGGCAATTTGTCTATGTAATCAGTTTGGATTCTATGCCAGGGACCTATTCATCTTTGATGCATAAGGGATTGGTAATGCAGTGGCTGGCTTTATCCAATGCAATTTCGAACCCAAATTTTAACATCATTTTCCATGTGTTTCCACTCTCCTACCTCCCGTAAGAATATAAGAAAGGCCATACTGGGTCAGACCAAAGATCCATCTAGCCCAGTATCCTGTCTGCCGACCATGGCCAATGCCAGATGCCCCAGATGGAGGGATCACATCAGGTAATCCTCACGTGATCCCTCTTTGTCACTCATTTCCAGACAAACAGAGGCCAGGGACTCCATTCCTACTCATCCTGGCTAATAGCCATTGATGGGATCTATGCCTGAGGGTATCTTATACTCAGTCCTTTTTTTGTGATGGTACTGCCCGTCACCTCCAGACGCAGTACCGGCACCTCCAGTCAGAGCTTCCTGGAATGAACGGAGCATACCGGCACCTCTGTATGCAAATATCCGACAGTTGGCTGGGCCGCATGTCTTAAAGGGGGCCATGTTTTGTTATTTTTTTCTTAACAACTTTTTCCCTGGAGTACCGACACTTTTTTTTTTTAAAACAAAAAAAGCACTGCTTATACCAATTTTCTACAACCATTTGAGAGCAAGGGAAAGGCTCCTAAACCTCCCCGATTCTATGGCTGAGATGATAGATACCTAGAAACAATTTCTTTACTAGTCTCTCTTAGCACCGTTGCCCAGTGAGGAG